CTTCTAAGAAGGACAAATTTAGGCATCAGGTGCATCTAAGGATCTTTCACAACTTATAATTCAGTTCCATTACATAGTAGGTATTTTATTCAGTATTTTGATATATCAGTCGTCATAATGAATATTGTTTTTCTTGAATATTTTTAGGGTTAATACCCTAGACTCATTTTTTTTTAAAAAATACTAGAAAATTCTAAAGCATTAAGAAGAATGCCCTGGATCTGGTAGGCTACCCTGAGGGCTAAGGGAACCTTTGGGCCAGTCTGTTTCCAGTAACTCTAGGGTCTCCACTTCAATTTTCAGCTCTTCCTTCTGTGTTGTCTCTGTCCCCCAGTAGCCGCCCTTTCTCAGGCTGTTACCTGTTTGGCCAGTGTCCTTTCTCCTTTCTCTCAAGGCCATTTTCTAAAAAGCAGAAATCATTCATCTTTCCTCTGTCACTGAGATCTAGCTCTCTGTGTTTGCAGAAAACAACCCTCAACAACTAAAGCTGTGGACGAAATGTGCGCCTGTGTGGAGGACAGGGGGGCGGGGGAGTGGCCTGGGAGAGGGGTGAGAGCAAGGGGGGGGGGCAGAGCTCAGTCAGCACTGAGCCAGCTTTGACAAAAGCCCTGCTGGTCTGGCAAGTGCTCTGGCCTGGAATCTTCCATCCCAGGACCTGGCTCACTAGTTATCTGAAGGATACAGCTAGATTTCGGCGGCTGTGACTGGAAAAACATGGAAGTGGTGTGTAAGGACTCCAGGCACCTGGGGAAGGCAGCAATGCTGCCCCTACAGACCCCCTCACCCTGGTCCCAGGGGCTGTAGGGATGTCTCTGTGGAGGGTTATTGGGTCCTATCAAAAGATAGCAGACTGAAAAATGGCCCTGCTTGTACATGATGCTTTTTTTAAAAAAAAAAATCTGTAAGTCTAAAATTGCTCTAAAAACATTTTAATTGAAAAAGGAAGTGGGAGAGGAGAGATGGCTCAGCCAGTAAGGCATTGATTTCTCTTCCAGAGGACCTGGGTTCAAATCCAGTACCCACATGGTGGCTTGCACAGTCTGTAACTCCAGTTCCATGGATTCAATGCCCTCTCCTGGCCTCTGTGGTTACTACACGTATGTGGTGCACAGACAAACATGTAAACAAACCGTCCATAAGCATAAAATACCTTTTTAAAAATTCAAGAAAAATGAAGCAAAGAAAGGAAAGGATGAAGAGGCAGAAGACGAGAAGTTCACGGACCTGCAGATAGCCTGACGGCTGCTGCCACCTGTTCCCCACTGGTTCACACTCTACCTCCAGATAGATACTCAGTAAAATCTGCTAAAAACAAACAACAACAAAAATCCCCACTGCCTGGAGCCAGTGGTTGGGAAACAGAGTAATGGCCAATGTGGACTGAAGCAACACTTGGCCTTCTACGGGAAGTCTGAGAATTTGACCCCAGAAAGAATTTGGAATGAGAGACCACAAAGGATGAAAGTTTCCAGGAATCTGTGACATGGCTCAGTAGTGACCGTGTACCCACAGGTGGCTTTTGGGCACTCACAGTAAGAAGAGTCCAAACTGACGTGTGTCAAGCTAGAGTGAGAAGAAGGCAGATAGCTCAATAGTTGCATGTAGTGATATTTTATTTGTGTTTTAATAAATAAAGCTTGCCTGGAGATCAGAGTGCAGAGCTAAGCCACTAGTAGCCAGGGAGTGGTGGCAAACTCCTTTAATCTCGGACTCAAGGCTACCCTGGGCTACATGAGATTGAATCTGTCTAAAAAGAGAAACAGAACTCTCATACAGGTAATCCCAGCACTTGGTAGTCACGCGCCTTTAATCCCAGAACTAGGGAGGTGGAGACAGGAGGGATACGCCTTGGTGGAGAGAGGTATATAAGGCAGAAGGAGACAAGAGTTCACTGCAGCTTTAGGCTTGGTGGAGAGCATTGCAGTCTACAGTCACTCTGAATGTAGAATCACCCCTTTGTTTGTCTAAGCCTTGGTAGAGATAAGAACTCTCTAGTGTCTGGCTGCTTTACTTTTCTGATCTTCAGCTTGAACCCCAATATATGTCTCTGGGTTTTTATTATTCATGCTACAATTGTATGCTAATTAAAATATTATTTTGACACAGAAATATATTATGAAAACAAAGTGTGCCTGCCCCCTGCCACCTTTCTAACACGTCTATTAGAGTGGTTTGAGTTGCATACATGACTGAGTACTGATGGATGCATCTTTAGAATGTTTGGGAAAGCCACAGATCCCCTACATGGTGTCATATGGGAGCTTCGATCTTCGGCAGGAAAACATAAACCCCATGGGGCCGGGACACAAAGTAGCAAATCCTGACAGACTAAATGTGAGAAGATACAAACTGACAACAATAGATGAGTTCTTCGCTTTAGCAACTTTTTGTTAAATTGCCAAATAATTCCTAAGAAACAGCACATGCTCTAAAAACAGAATTCAGTCTGAGGAAAAAACTCAAAGCCTTAGGAACTCATTTATAGCAGGAAGCAAGGTGCAGCTTTCCAATGTAAAGAAGCTATACTCAGCCACTGCATTTAAACTAGAGAATAAGGAAACCAAGGAGTCATCAGGGGACAGGGGACTGTGTGAGTCCCTCAAAGTAGGTACAGTGACCACCAGGTCTGAAGCTGACATTGTCCGAGTTCACTGGAAGTACCAGACACATGACATGCTTGGCTGCTTTGTTGTATTTATTTCATGTCTGATCTACTTCTTGAGGCCGCATCTCTGGAAACTGATGAACAAAAGGTCAAAATAAAATGCTGACTCCAAGTTATCCAAACTGAGTAGAATCAGAACCCAGTTTCTCAGACACGCTCTCTAGGAAGCCGAGCTCATCCAGGTTCTGTGCTGTATACATCTGTGGTTACCTGGATAACCACAAGTTATCTGTGCTAGCACATGGTTCAGTATGTAATTTCATAGATAGGGCACTGAGTCACAGAGAGACACGTGACTTGGCCTCACTGCCTACTGGCAAATCAGGACTCGGCTTTATGGTGCACTGTACACTTGGCACCCTGGGAATGGCCCACGCTTCCTAAGGATTACGCAGGCTGTGGGAAAACTCCAGCTGGCCATACATACTACAGAGGTTTCTTAACAAGAAGGATCAAATAATCCCTGTATATAACACATGCATTAAAACACTTCTTTTAAATAAATTTAGTTGTAGGAACAGGTGGCTTAAGTAGCAGAGCAGAATTCGCACCTAGCATGCTGAAAGGGAAGCCTGGTGTCCAGGAACGAGGTGCTGAGCACAGGGAGGCGCAAAGGGAAACCAGGGAGCAGGCTCGGAGGTTCACGTTCCTCTCTCCCTGCATTGCTCACATGAATATCCCGAGCACCCAGACACTTCCGGAAGCCCAGTAACCCGTGTCTCAAAACACACACCAAGTACTCTCCTTCCCCTGACGTACACTGATATGGCATTTCAGAGTAACTAGCCAGCCTGTGTGAGCTGCAGGACATGGTCTCATGGATAACAGTGTTAAGGATATCATTTGGATGGGAGTTGCTTTTCTGTATGGAGGATAAATTTTTGTGCCTTGACATGTGTGAGTGCACACACATGCACACACACAGACATACACACACAGTGACTTAGTGTCCAATCTTTTATTTAATGGGATTTTTGTGTTTTTCTAAAGTGTTTATGAGTATGAATGTTTGTCTGCATGTGTACATACGAAACACACACATGATGTGTTTACTGAGACCAAAGTGGGTGTCAGATCCTATGGAACTGGAGTTACAGCCACCATGTGGGTCCTCTGCAAGAACAGAAAGTGTTCCTAACCACTGACCTGTCTCTCTAAGCGCCAGGCATCTCATAGGGAAAGTTTTCCAGTCCTTCCATAAATAATGGGTAGCAAAGTTACTTTATTAGAAATCTCTTCCTTCACAGAGAGAAGAAAGGGAATACAAAAATCTCAAAAATGTCATTGTATTTTTGCAAAGCCCTTCCCCCCAGGATCAGGACCTCAATAAATGACCCAAAACTTTGCCTTGAGAGGGTCTGGTAACCTCCCAAAGTCTAATCTATTCCCAAACTAGAGGAGAATGAGTTAAGAACTTAACGCATTCAGATATCACCCAGGGGTCTGGAATGACATTCAGAAGACTGGACTGATGGTTAAACACCACTAAGCAGGATGCTCAGATATCACCCAGGGGTCTAGGGTGGCATTCAGAGGATTTTACTGATGTGTGATTTCCCTCTGTATGCTTTGATTAACATTAATTAATAAATGGATTTGATAGCGGACAATGAGGACTACTGAGACCTCAAGAACAATGGCAATGGGTTTTTGATCCTTCTGCACGTACTGGCTTTGTAGAAGCCTAGGCAGTTTGGATGCTCACCTTACTAGACCTGGATGGAGGTGGGTGGTCCTTGGACTTCTCACAGGGCAGGGAACCCTGATCGCTCTTTGGGCTGACAAGGGAGGGGGACTTAACTGGGGGAGGGGGAGGGAAATGGGAGGCGGTGGTGGGGAAGAGGCAGAAATCTTTAATAAATAAATAAACGGATGCCACCAGAAAAAAAAAAAACAAATAAATGGCTTTGGACCTATAGTAGGGCAGAACTTCAGTAGGTAGGGAAGACGGAACTGAATGCTAGGAGAAAGAAGGGCAGAGTCAGAGAGAAGCCATGTAGCCCGCCAGAGATGGATGCTGGGAACTTTACCCGGTAAGCCACAGCCATGTAGCAATACACAGATTAATGGAGACGCATTAAGTTAATATGTAAAATTTAGCCAATAAGAAGCTAGAGCTAATGGGCCAAGCAGCGATTTAATTAATATAGTCTCTGTGTGGTTATTTTGGTTCTGGGCAGTGGGAACCAACAAGTGGTTATCTCCTCCTACACTGTACTGATGACTAAACGCCACTAAGCAGGATGCTCAGGCATGACCCAGGGGTCTGGGGTGGCATTCAGAGGTCTGTACTGATGGCTACACGCCACTGGGCCGGATGCTGGAGGTGCTGTACCTTTGCAGGTGAAGCATTTGATGTGGAAATGCTTGGTCTGGACCCGAAGCACTTCGCCCTTGCACGGCTCCCCACATTTATGGCAGTGAATGACAGGCTTCTCTGTTGAGTGGCGAGGGTCCTGAGGATGGGCCACTGGAAAGAAACAGCAAAAGATTTAGGTGAAAAGGAAAAATGTCTAGAAAACTCTTTGCAAGAATGTTTGCAACACACAGTGGAAAATGAGCCACACGGCCATTCAAGAAGCATGAGGTGGGCACACACACCACACCCCATGATCTTGGCTCCATAGCTGTATGTGTCAGTGGCAGCCTGAGCAGTTTGTTGGGGACACATATGCTGTCTTCTGCCTCAACGTCTCAAGAACTACAGATTGCACAAACACAATCCCATTTTACTTAGTATTTTGCAATCAGTATTTGTGGCATCTTCTTGCTGACTCAGCCCATCCCAGCAGGCGTCCCTGTAAAGCCAAGGTTCCATTTCTTACTGTCTGTTTGGTTTCTTTCCTAATTATACTTCATGTCCCAGCTCCCACTGTCACAGAACGCTCATGCCTTGGTAACGACTTAGGCTGTGTGAGACAGTTTCTCACTGCCGTCCATCACCAGAGACATCTTCTATTAATCTGGGGACTCATCTAACCTACTGGAGGCCCATAACGAGACTCTCATGGCGTACACAATTCCTCACATATACTATGAGCAAAAGCTTAGAAATAACAACCTGTGAACCTGAGATCCCTCTGCACACGACCTGCTCCCTTGTCCATAAGACAAAGGGGACCTGACCAGCTGGGTGTGAATGAAGGGGCACACAGAGATTATCCTCTTAGATCCATAGCGCAGTTTTCAGAAAATGAGAACTAATTTGCCTGCCTGGCCTCAGAGCTGGGTGCAGGTGCCTGAACTAATTGCAGAGGGGCAGGACGGAGGCAGTGAGACAGCACCTGGCTTCCAGCAACCACAAGGTTTGTGTCTCTTGCAGGTTCCTTGGCCAGAGAATGTCAGTAGCTGCTTGCTGCCAGCCACTTCCTTTGCTGCTGAAGAGCCTCAGAACCCATGTGACATTCAGGGACTCTGCACTTGACCAACACAAGGAGCAACAACATTTTTAAAATGTTTGTCAAGTAGGAAAACCGCACTGGGCAACTCATGAGAGACTGCTAAGACCCGACGTAGAAAGGACATCAGGGTGAGAAGCTGGTGTGTGTGTGGAAGAGCACGGTTGTTCTGTGCAGAATGTTGCCCGTCCTCATTTGCTGAAAAAAGTTTAGGCATGATGGTGCAAACAGCGTGTTCCTGACCCCCTTTCTGGAGAACGAAGTTCTTCTTGTGAGGTTTGGTCAGGGGCAGGTGTGGTTTCAAGCTAAACACCCAAATTCTTAGCGTCTTAGCCTGGATCTGAAGAATACCTGGTGGCTGAAACCCAACATCACAAGCCACCTGCATTCTTTCATCTACCTGATAAGATCTCTCTATGTTTACCACCAAATTCACGTGTTCTGCAGGCATTAAGGAGGGGCATGCATGCTATCAAGATCTCCGAGAGCAATGTACGTCAAGGCCCAAAATCTATTCACGCGGGCATTAAGAGAGAGGTTCTCTCAAGAGCACCTGCTGGTGGTGGTAGTGGGGGAGAATCTGCGAGCCTCTCATTTTCCTCCAGTTAACTCCTGTTTTCCAGCAAGGTTATCATCGCTGGGTATCACACTAATCCTGGGCATGTTGTTTATGCAGCCATTTTATTCCAGCTGCACCACCCTTGCCTGGCAGTGGGATGAGCAACAGCGCTCCCATTGGTGGATAAGGAAGTTGGGCTTCAGAGATGCTGAGCAGCGCTCTCAAAGTAACATCTAGTGTGAGTGCAAAGGTCCGCACCTCTGCCCTTCTGGACCTACTATGTTCCCGCCCTTCTGGACCTAGTATGTTCCTGCCCTTCTGGACCTACTATGTTCCTGCCCTTTGGGACCTACTATGTTCCCACCCTTCTGGACCTACTATGTTCCCACCCTTCTGGACCTACTATGTTCCTGCCCTTCTGGACCTACCATGTTCCCGCCCTTCTGGACCTAGTATGTTCCCTTCTGGACCTACCATGTTCCCTCCCTTCTGGACCTACTATGTTCCCGCCCTTCTGGACCTACAATGTTCCTGCCCTTCTGGACCTACCATGTTCCTGCCCTTCTGGACCTACAATGTTCCTGCCCTTCTGGACCTACAATGTTCCTGCCCTTCTGGACCTACCATGCTCCTCCCAGACTATTAGGATAAGACAGGAAATTATTACAAGCAAGGTATTTATTTAGCCAAATTTGTGCACTATTCTGAAAGTACCTCTAGAGTTTGGCTTTCAGAAAGAACACAGACAGCATATGAGGAAAAGGTGTCGCTAGGTGGGCCCAGGACCCTGGTTATCGCCAAAGTAATTGTACAACCCTTGAATTAGAAATCCTTGTGCCACGTACTTAGAAAGGCAAATGCTATCATATCTCCAAAGGCTGTCATATAAAAGATAAAAAAGTTTACAATGCGGGGGCAGTCTCCTGGAAGAAGAGAACCCTCAGACTCAGTCGTCCAGCATGTAAATTATTGTTATGGAAGATACTATGGAGGTTCCAACTAACAATCCAAACACAGACACCCAAAGGAAATGGAGTCACATTGATGAGCAATCTGCCAATGGCCAAGAAATGGATAAAGACCATGCTATATCTATCTATACAATGGAATATTATTTATCCACAAAAAGAATGAAGTTTGGTCTCTTACAGCAACATGAATGGAACAGGAGGATATTACATTAAGGGGTCAAAGTCGGGTTCAGAAAAACTCATGTCACGTGTTCTCAAATTCATATGTTGACCTCATGGAGGTGGACGATGGAGTCATGGCTACGAGAGCCTGGGAATGATGTGGGCGAGGGAGGGTAGAGAGAGGATGGTTAACACTTCCAGAGAGCTATCGGGCATGAGGAATGGCTTCCGGTGTAGTAAGGCACACCAGAGTAACTACTGTTGACTGCTGAGTATTTCAAGACAGCAGCCGGTAGACAGGATACAACATGTCCCCAGTGCACAGGAATGGCAAGTGTCCCAGGTGACAGATATGCCAAATGCCACAACTGGTCACACAACGTACATCCAATAGTTTTTAAATGTCACACTGTATTTCATAAGTACACACAATTACTATGTGTTGATCAGAAAATACTAACAAGCAGCCATGTGGTTACATGTCCTGAGTCCAGTCCTAGAAAGGTTGACACGGGGATCAGAGCCTGAACATGACGATTCCTCAGCTCAAAACACTAAGACAAGCAATAAACAAAAATAATTTAAGGTCCTCCCCCCTCCGTCCATGTCTAGGAAGGTGAACATCCAAACTGGCTAGGCTCCCACCAAGCCGGAACATGAAGTAGGATTAAAACTCCGTGCCATTGTCCTTGGCTTCTCATCAGTCCTCATTTTTCGCCATGATCAGAGAGTCCGGTGAAGGGTGGGAGGAGGGGGAGGGAAATGGGAGGCTGGGAGGAGGCAGAAACTTTTTTTTTCTTTTTCTCAATTTAAAAAAAAAATAATTTAAAACATGCAGTCCCTCCCAACATTGCCCAGGAGTAGGGGTCAAGAATCTCTTCCTAGTAAATCCCTCGGGCAATTCTTCCACTTTCTCCAGATGAAGAACCTCGAGATTCTTTTTCTAAAAAGTCTTTGTATTTATGTAGGGGAGTGCAAGGGGTGCATGTGAGTGTATTTATGTGTGTGCGGGTGTGTGCATGTGAGTGTATTTATGTGTGTGTGTGAGGGGGTGGTGCATGTGAATGTATTTATGTGTGTGCGAGTGTGTGCATGTGAGTGTATTTAAGTGTGTATGGGATGTGCATGTGAGTGTATTTATGTGTGTGTGGGGAGTGTGCATGTGCGTGTATTTATGTGTGTGTAGGGTGTGCATGTGAGTGTATTTATGTGTGTGAGGGTGTGTGTGTGAATGTGAGTGTATTTATGTGTGTGTGTGAGGGGGTGGTGCATGTGAGTGTATTTATGTGTGTGCGGGTGTGTGCATGTGAGTGTATTTATGTGTGTGTGTGAGGGGGTGGTGCATGTGAGTGTATTTATGTGTGTGCGGGTGTGTGCATGTGAGTGTATTTATGTGTGTGTGTGAGGGGGTGGTGCATGTGAGTGTATTTATGTGTGTGCGAGGGTGTGCATGTGAGTGTATTTAAGTGTGTATGGGATGTGCATGTGAGTGTATTTATGTGTGTGTGGGGAGTGTGCATGTGCGTGTATTTATGTGTGTGTAGGGGGTGCATGTGAGTGTATTTATCTGTGTGAGGGTGTGTGTGTTTGTGAGTGCAGTTATCCACGGAGGCCAGAAGAGAGCAATGGATCCTTGGAGCTGGAGTTTCAGGTGGTGTGGGAGGTCCCATATGGGTCGTGGGAACCCAAACTTGGGTCCTCTGAGAAACAGGTGTGGGTCTTAACCACTGAGCCATCATGCCCTGAATGTCAGCATCATTATCACTGAGTGGGCCTGCTGAAAAGAGTTAGGAGTTCCAGCACAGCTCTCAAGACCACTCTCTTTGGTGTACCCTACAGGTGTGCGCCACCACAGCCAGGAGGACCCGTCCTCTCCAGAAACAATGTGACAACACGGGACATCCCTTAACCAGGGAGTGAGAAACCTGAGACTTCGGACTCTCCATTTCAGACTGCTAAGCAAGCCAGCCAGGCTGACTCACAGAGAGAGGGAAGGAACCCGCCACTCTGGGCTCTTCTGTGTATGTAAATAAAAGGGCCAGCTGAACAGCTGGCAACTGCCCCCAAGGTCAGAGGGGAGACCAAAGTCTGCATTCCTTGAGGTCAGAGCGGAGACCAGCATCAGTACCCCTCCAGGTCAGAAGGGAGACCAACTGCTTTTCCGCAAGCATTTCCTTTCAGAAAGATGTGTTACACCTGAAGGCTTCCGTGCCTGGGGAAGACTTTCACCTTCAACCAGAAATGGGAAGACCAGACCGTTTACCTGCCTTTCCTTCATCTGGCAGCCTAAGCTCATGTGTGTGCATGCAAAACATACACACACACACACACACAGACACACACAGACACATACACACACCTAACTCACCAGTGAAGAAAT